CCACAATAAAGTAAAACTTAGCACAGAGAAACCACACGCTTGGGGGCTTGTGAGTGTTCCCATCTTTAATATGAATGTGCAACCAGTGACCATGAGATAGAGGAAACAGTCTACAAAAATCAAAAGAAGTGAGGGGAAAACGACAGTGAGAAAAATAGTATAGCAATTTTAAAAAACATATTCACAATTTGGGGCTGGGGATTTAGCTCAGCGGCATAAGCGCCTGCCTTGCAAGCAGGCGGTCGTGAGTTCTATCCCCGGTACCGATAAAAAAAGAAAAGAAAAAGACCAAAAAACATATTCACAATTCTTTGATGTTCTTGTCACATCAAAAGTTGGAATTTATTTCCTCTCTTTTACTGTATTACATTTTTAAATTAAAAAATTTATGTTTTATCACACCTTTTAAAGAATATTAACAAATAGAAAGTCGTATGACATTTTTAGAGCATCATAATACTGTTGCTCATTTATTTAATGGTTCCCCTATGTTTGACTTCAACTACATTTTCATTTTGAATTTCAACCTCCTCCGGATGACCGAGAAAGCATAGACATTTATATTCCCTAGAATATAGAAATTTATTTCAGAACGTGAGGCTGTATAACTAACTTTACTTGTTTGAAGAGGGAGCAAAAGGGAGTAGACTTTCCTGTTGGGCCAGTGTCAAGAATGCAGATTAAGAACACAGCGTACAAATACAGGCGCTTAATCTTAATGGCACAGCGTCTACCTATAGTTTATATATCTTTATGCTATTTTATTGACCAAAGATTTACATGTGTCCTCTTAAATTATTTATTATCAGTTTTAGAGTTATTTCAACTCAGAGTATTTTAATTCTATTACAACATATTAATTCTACAAACAAAAGTTATGACATATTCTTCTGATGAATTTCTAATCATAATCCAGAAACATTAATATGGTATGAAAACAATAAATGTGTACTCTATCGTATTTAATTCTGTCATGAAATTCTCCCAGGGGAGAGATCTGAGCTGTTCCCTGGAAGGCATACATTTTACTCTCCAGCTGAGTTATGGATTGCACTCAGCCAGAGAACCTAGTGACAAATACATCTTCTATTTTTCTTGTTCCATCATTCTCCTAGATATTCTCAAATAGAAAAATCATCCTCATTTTTAATGATTATGTAGAAGCTTGACTTTGAAGTAAATTAAAAATTTCCCCAGATCTCAACTATGATAGTTACTTTTCTAGAAAAGACACTGGTATATAGCTAGTCAACTTTCACGGTCCGATTAATAGAATCCTGGATGCTCAAGTCAGATGGAACCTCAAACACAATGTGGCTCAGAGCTATTATCATGTGTGTGCTAAGACACTGAGGTTAAGAGAGCTGATGGGATGTGTTTCAGGACAAATGGCCTAGAGGGTGAGATTGGACCAGAAACCAGGATTTTTTTTTTTTTTTTTTTTTTTTTTTTGTCTTCATTCCAAGTCCTTTCGGTCTTTTCTTTTCTGAAGGCTTAAAATGAACTAGATGACCTTTCAAGATTCTTTCCAACACTGGGATTCTATGAAGTGGATTATAGTTGAGGAATTTTTATAAACTTGGCCTTGTTTCATTTGTGATAAATTTCTGAAAGAATGCAATTGTTTTCTTTGAAGTTTATAAAATAACCAGAGAAATTATTCCACAATTAGCAATTTATTCTTGTCAGTGAGCTTGAAGTATGCCATTGTAAGTTCCGCTGGATACATGGGTTTTTTTTTTGTGAAAAGATACTCACAGAAAATAGAGAACATTATTATTATCCAAGACATTAGGAAAGTAATATCAGACTTCTAGACTCTGCCTATTTCATAAAGCATGAATGGATAATTCCATAGGCATGGGTCTAGGTTCACAGGGAAATAGCATAACTGTTTAGGGTGATGACACTGCCAGTGTCACTGCAGTATGGTTTATATTAATGCCAGTCACCTAATTAGTTAACTGACATAACAGCCCTATTATACTTAGGAGGACAATGACTTCCATGTTCTAGGACCTCCACTGCTGATTGGGTCCCTTCTTGAATATAGATGATAAATTTTAAAGAATTAATTTAGTCTGTAGCTAAATTGAGCCTTCAGCTCCCTGGTGTGGCAGACTGTGGCCCTTCCAGGAAGAGAACCACCAGCAGCTCCTGAGATCCACGCCATGTTGGAACTTAGGACGCTGGGAAGCCAAGCAAGCACCTCCCCTCCCTGTTAAGTGGCTGCAGTGTGGCAGACTGCGGCCCTTCCAGGGAGAGAACCACCAGTGTTTTCTGAGATACACATTATGTTGGAACTTATGAAGCTGGGAAACCAAGCAACCAGCCTGCCTCCCTGCTAAGCAATAGTGGTGCACGGCCTAGAGTCAAACACTCCAGTTCCCCTACCCACTTTCTCCTGTTCCCCCCCCCCCCCCCCGCACCTCCCCGTTAGCAAATGGGAACCAGAAATCTGAGCATCTCTTGGGAGGATGACCATAGCAAATAAGGGGGATTTCCTTCTACCATCTCTTTGAAGGCAAATATTTTTATTACTGTTTTGCTATATTCTGATTAATGGTACTGCTCTATTCAGTATTCTGTTTTGATAAGTTCTATAATGTTCTGTATTTCAGTTTATTTTGATATAAGTGATTGAAAGAACAACTATTGTAAAGATAACAAAATATACTGTGATACCTATTACTGTTATCCCGGTAACCTGCTGTGAAGTTCTGTACCAATTTCACTGTATGATCTTAGTTGGCTTTATTCTGTCTTGTTCTGTTGTATTTTACTACTTTCAAAATAAAAATTAAAAAAAAAACTAAAAAAAAAATAAATTGAGCCTTCAGAAGCAGAGTTTTGTACCTGGATGGGGTGCTGCCAGATTGATATTAATTTTTATTAATGATTTTTGGAGGTGGGAACTTCTGAGGAAGAAAAGGATTGCTTTGCTCAGAAAGTGCTGGTACCAAGCAGGGCCGGGCATCTCACTAGTTCCTGTATTAGGCCCACTCTGCTAACTCCCAAGAGAGACAATGCAAGAGGATCCACAAAACCCAAAATGTGCAGCACTGTGCTCGGAAGTTGTTTGGCATTTTGGCATCTTCATGTGTGTTTCCAAGTTGGTATTTTCAAGCCCCTGCTCACCAGGAACCACAGGGGAAGGAAAGGTCTGCACAGGCACAAATCCTAAAGAGCTAAATTGCTTCTTGAATAATAAATCAGTCCACCTGGGGCTCTACAAGAATTCAGTGGACCATATCTACATTGTTTTTCCAGTGGGGATACAGGGATTAACTCTGCTTTCCAGTTGCACTGGTCCTTTCTAAGACTAGTTTATTAACAGTAGCTCTCCTCTGCCTGAGGTTATCCTTCAATAACCGAATTTTCCCGTGTCTAAGGATCTGCAGCTGTTTTGATATTCCCGCAAAGTCTCTTCCCACTCCTCCACTTGTTGCTTGGGAAAGGAAAGGCAGCTTCCTTCCTTGGGGAACTCTAATCTTTATTTGTATTTCTATTTTGAAGCTGAACTTAGTAAGTTCTGTCACGTTGTCACTTACTGTAACAGAGAGGGACCTTGCTTGCTATGGTCTTGAAGAGCAGAGTGGCCAGAGGAAATCAATTGGGTGACACAGGCTGGAAGCACAAAAGCCATCTCAGTGCAGTGGTGCTAATCCCTGTGTTCGTTCCTTTTTGTGCTCAGGTGTTTTCTTCCGTGCTGTGTCCTGAGGTTTCTGCCTGGCGGTGTCCGTGACTGTCTTGAGTCCCCTGGGCCCGTTGGTAGCGGCCTTCGCCTAACCACGTGAAGTTGATGAGTTGGCTTCAGCTACAGATTGGGAAAGGGCCTGCTGGCTGAGGAAAGTGTGAATGTTGAAGCTGAAGGCAGAACTGGCTTATGGAATATTTTATCTGTTCTCTGAGTTTCTCGTCCCAGTATGTCAACAAATTTGTTTTTGCTTAAAGACTTTCCCACACGAGTGTCTGCCAAGTTCAGACGACTGCTTTTTTAGATTGATCTTGGTTTTCTTGGAACAAGGGCTGGGCTTATATAATCAGCTCAGTTGGTCTCAGTGAGAAACGTTGGGAGATTCTATTTCCATATATGTTAGACAGGTCTGGGCATAGAAGAAAGACCTGAACACTGGCGGTGAAGGGTGGGAGGAAAAAACACTGCCGTAAACTTTCACTTGTGTCTGCTTTCTCCACTCGTCTGTAGGACTCTCTGGGTCATTTGGAAATGAGCCTCTGGGACTACTGTGTCCCATGTTGAAATCAACTCTGCTATATTATCTGTTGATTTAAATTAGTCTGATTTATTAAAAAGAGCCTTTAGGTTTCTAATTTCTAGATTAGTAGAAACACTGTCACTATCTGAAGCAGCTCCAAGTGTGCATGTGCCCTAGGGACCCTTTGCCTCAGAGGCATGAAAAGCACCAAGTGCGATAGTCTCATTTTCTGTGGCACATTTAATGGGACAAAGATGAAACGGAAGACTCTGCTTTCATAAAGGAAAATACTGATCACTGTGAGGTGCTGTGTATTTCTGGAGATTGGTTTCTGGGCTTAGATCACAGAGCAGTAGAAGAAGGGGAACCTGGAAGCTTACCTGGAACAGAACTTTCTGTGGACTCCTATGGCCACTGTTAGTACTAAGCGCAGCACAAGCTCTCAGGAAGAAATAGTCTTGAAGACCACCATGTCCACAAGCACTACTGGCTTAGGATGCTAGCAACCTCTGCCAATGCCAGCCCAATGTCCTGCCCAAGTAGCAGGAAAGACTCCTTTCCTGGCTGATTTTATGATGTAAGGCAAAGAGTTAGTCGGATGGAGATTGAGATACCTGCTGTGAGAAGCTTAGCAAGTAGCAAAGTAGACATTGTAATGATGAGACTTAATACTCAAAATTAGACTGACCACCCGCCTGGACAGTGCCGCACCTCTGTAGACTGTTGTCTGTGGGATCTTGCGCTGGAAAACTTCCAGCATGGAAGAAGTTTTACGTGGCTCACCTGCAAGAGGAAGAAGATCAGGAAATCAGGAAATGTGGAGTGTTGTTTGTCCCGTTTGTCCTGTGGGTAAGTCCCTCTGTGGTCTCCATGGTGAAAAGTAAGGCAGTAAGCCAGAATGCTTAGGAGCAAAGTCACCCCTCAGAGGAAGCAGAAGAATGGAATAGATACGTTTCTTCCTCATAACAAGTTTTTGTTTTTGCATAAACACTAGAATTTTCATAATCAACAGCATGAGCAGTGAGAATATTGTGGTTTTTCCAGGCAGCTTTGACAGACAGCATTATAACAATAGGGAATACAAACCCTTAAGGGATACTGGATTTCTCATCATTGTCCGTATTTTTACCCTGTACACCACGAATTGTTCTGGTTACAGTAGCCCGTGACAGTGACGCATGGCAGTAGTGATGTGTGGCAGGAAAAGGGAGGACAGGAGGAGGAGCCAGAGAGCAGAGTTGTGGAGAAAAAGGGACATTCACACACAGTCATGTGTGAAAGAATGGAGTTTGGTCAGTCTGAGAAAATTACTGAATACTCACAGCTCATAAAAGGCTTATAACCTAATAGAGAAGACAAAGTCAACCAATGCAAGAGAAATAGACAGTTGCAAATATAAAATTTTATTGTGGTGAAAGTGATTTTGCAGGTGAGCAGGATTAAAGGGAAAGTTTACAAAGAAAGTGAATCTTGATCTGTGGTGGTGAGGGACGGGGCATGTGGGAACAGTGGCCTTGGGGTACGGGTCGTATGGTGAAAACTCATAGGAACATGCTGGAAAGTCTCTCTGATGTCATCCAAGGTTGAACATTGAAATATTATGATGTTGCTGCTGCTGCTGTTGATGGGGGGAAGATAAATGTTGTGACAGACGCCCACAAAGTTTTTGGCAAGAAATAAGATTCCATTTAGTATGATGTGTTTCAAGGGAGTGACCTTTAGCATCATACAGATGTGGCATGTTTTTGGCTCATTCCTAAACTATGGAGTTTGGGATCTATACAAATGTGGAAGGCATCAGGTCGAAATGCAATCTAATATGCCTTGGCCTAAGTGAAAATTGTAGCAGCTCCCCACATGCATATCAGAAATATCAGAAATAACAGCCCCAAGTGCTAGGAAATGCTTTCTCCCCTCAAAAAGCAAAAGAAGATTAAGTGTTTGGTAAAGTTTACCTTTATTGCTGCTTCTCATTCTAGCCTGAAATCAAACTCATACTTTCTGTGATGCGATCGGAGAATGACTTGGGGCCTTATTCACGAAAGCAAAGTGACAAGGAGATGCACGGGCAGGGTCCAGTGTGGCTGCTAATTCCTGCTCTACTCGCTCCAGTGAGGCTGCTGGTATGAGTATCTGGTTTTGTTTTTTAAAGTTTAGTTTTTTTCCTTTCAATTTATCCAAGTAAAGTCTCTTGATAAATATTTCTATAATAATTGTTTTTTATAAATAATGAATCTAAATTTTAAAAATGATTCCCCATTTGTTACAGGGTAAAATTAGTTAACCCAATATTCAAAGTGATACATAAAAATAACCTATTTTTTTTAACATTAATTCTCGCATTTATTGTATGTTTTTTTTTTTTTTTTTGGTACTGAGGACTCATGACCTTGCACTTGCCAGGTTGGCGCTTATGCCACTGAGCTAAATCCCTGGCATTGCATGCAGTTTTTAGTAAACTAAACTAATTTACCTGTTTCTTCTCCAGACACTTCTTTAAATTTTCCATCCACTGAGTCTTTGCTCATCCACTCTCTCTCTCACCCCTCTCCTCCCTCTATCTAAATCGTTTCCATAAGTATAGAATCAGCTAAACTTCACATCCTGCACAAAATTCTGCCTACACACTGCAGTCAGGGGTTTTCCCAAGCTATCTATACCACTCACGTGTCACTTTTCAAGTGTGTTGGTGATTTTACATTCATGCTTGCACATTTTACCCCTCCGAAAAGATTTTTGAGGACAGAAACATTTTCGTGCCTTTCCTGTATCTCAAAATATTCTTTCACATATTATATTTCAGAGAATAGCCCAACATTTTCAGGACAGGGAAAAAGTGAGAAAATATGCCACGGGTGAGCACAACAGATTCCTAAGGCAATGAAGCACTTTTGAATGAAATGATAATGAAAACACAGAATCAAATGTTCAGAGTTGCAGTTAAAGTTCACTTAGAACAGTGGTCCCTAGTCCTTTTGGACCAGTTTCCTGGAAGATAATTTTTTCACAGGCTGGGAGTGGGAGATGATTTGGGGATCATGCAAGTACATTACATTTATAGTGTATTTTATTTCTATTATTATTATATTGAAATAATTATATAACTCATCATAATGGTGAATTACTGGGAGCCTTGTCCTTGTTTTCCTTCAACTAGATAGCCTCATCTTGGGGTGATGGGAGGCAGTGACACCCAAAATATGTTGCCTATATCCGGTGTACCCTGAAATCTTGTTTTGGTTGCTGTCACTGCAGAAAATCTGTTTCACAAAGATAGGATGATGCATTTCAAGGGAAATGCAAGCCGGCTTTTCAGTGATATTGTGGCACTCTCAGGATATTCTGCCTTAACTTTAACCCAGAACATATGGAGGCCTGAAATTGCCTCAAATACAGCTTGACATATGGCCGCTGTCAGCCTCTCCTAGCATGGACACAGTTGATGGTGGACTCCCAAGTGGGCAGCAGGTCCATCCCTTCCCAGTCTGGGAGTCCTCTGCGGTTGGGCAGTAATGCTCGAACTCTCTTGGAAGCTCACACAGTTGACCATGCACCAGCCAGAAGAAAGAAAGCAATGGATCAATCTCTTTCTAAATCTCTGCTAATGTTTGAAACTTGTCAAAAAATCCCAGGGTTCACTAATTGCCCCAAAATTCCAGTCTGGCTTTGAATGTGGGCATTTTACCTGCCAACCTGGGCACAGATGTCAATTCTCCCTTGAGCTGACAGAGGCAATTCACTGAGCAGGTCAAATATGTCACACAAATAAGCAAATTTTACGACCCATTCTGTGGTGACTTTTTCTAAAAGAAATGTCTGGAGTGGTTCTTGTAACTCATAAACTCTGGCCAGCAATCTACCTTTAGAAATGCATCTCACTTCTGTTTATAAAAGAAGATGTGTGCTCTGTACCCAGCTTAACAAAGCTGCGGGAACAGACATTGATTAAGGACACATACCGTGATGTGACTGATAATTTTAATGTCATCCTACAAAACTTGGTAAGCTCAGGTGCCACTTTTTGTCTAGCCAGTATTTTCTGTATGGTTGACACAGGGCACAGATTCACATTCACAAGTGACCTCTTTGATCCGATAGTGAAACTAGAAAAAAAAAGCTATCCAGTCACGGCAACACTGACTCACAAAATGACTGATTCAATTTCCTTGATATGTAATCACTCAAAGACTGGAACAGTCCTGCAGCTGTGATGTGAAAGCTCACAAAAGTGCCCATGTACATCCTCCTAAAAGGATTGCTCAAAGACAGGGACTGTTTCCTTTCCCAAACATCAGTAAACATCACAACCTGGGTTGTGTACTACAGTGAGTCATTAATCATCTGTAAAATCTGTGCCTCGGTACCCTGTGCCATTTCATCAGTTTGTCTAGTTATGGCACTAGCCAAAAGAGAAACGCGTGCCATGTTTTGAGCAGCAGCCCCTCACAAATCTCTATGACAAAAGCCTGTAGGTGAAGTAGAATCAGTTCTTTCTCAATAGTAAAGGGCTTCTGGGCTGTACCAGTGCTGTTAGCCACCAAGAATGACTCTGGCAGTGCAGGCTCATATGACGAAATGGTAGCCTTCAGGAACTGGTTCTGTTCTTCACGTTCACGTGTTTTTCTTCTGAAAAACTCCAAAGACTTATCTTTAATGCAGGGTACTTCGTCTCCAGGGTTAGAGAATGTGAACCACCTGTGAAATAAATCCGTAATCTAAGTAGGACACTTGGTATTTTCTTTAAAATGTAGATTTCTTTTTTGTTAGCATCTTCTACTGCCTCATCTTCAGTCTTTTCTCTTTTGCAAAGAAACTTTCCAATGAATTCGCTTTTTCCTCCTTTTGGCTAGGGTTATCTTGTGGACTTACCAGAAGCGTGACTGAGACAAGTGTGGAACGTGGGAAAGAGGCACACATGCAAGTGACAAGTAAAATGATTGGCGGGCCACGCACAGACTAAAATAAGAGTTGGTTTTAGTTGTACATCCGAAGCACATCAATTGAGGTCAACTAAAACCTGCCACCAGATGCAGCTTGTAACTTGGCACTCACTGATGGTGTTTTGAAAATTATTAGCACACATTTGTAGTACATAATGGCAACATTCATTGTGGTACACAACACATAGGGTTTTGATATGAGTTGCCAACAACTGATTTAATTGTTGTATCTGTGGTCTCTGTGCAGTCAAACCTCCCTGCCAACATTCAGCTGTACCTGCAGATCAGCAGGCCTGGATCCTTCCGAGCAGCCCACAGCCTAGATACCTCACACGCGCAGTTCTCAGTAGCTCATGCTCCTGTGAGAATCTAATGCTGCCGCTCGCTCATCTGACAAGAGGCAGAGCCACGTGAAAGTGAGTGATGGGGAACAGCTGGGGCACAGAGGAACTGTCAGTTGTTTCCTGCCATTCACCTCCTGCCCCGGAACCAGTTCCTAACAGGCCACAGACAGTGGTCATGGACACATATGGCTAAGGCTCAGGGGTTGGGGACCCTGAGAGGGAGGGAGCTTGTTGTCTTAGATGAATACATTAGAAAATAAAAAAGGCTGGTAATGGATGGGCTTCTATTTCCAGAACTTAGTAAAAGTCAAAGATGATACAGTCAAAGATGATCAAAAGAATAAAATAATGAAGATGAAAACATGTTAGTAAAAGAGAAAATACAAAATAAAGAGCTCCTGAAAGATTAAAATATTTTCATTTGAAAAAACTTAAAAAGTTGGTAAAGCCATGGCAAGTTTGACCAGGAAAAAAGAGAAAGGAAAAATAGTCAAAAAGCAACATAATTATAGATCTTATATTTAGTAAAAAGATAATAATAAGGTATTATAGAAATCTTTATATCAGCAAATTTGAAAATTAAATGAAGTGGAAAGATAGTAGGTTTCTAGAACAATTAAAAGAAAAATTAGTTCAGGGTCAATTTTATGTCCATTTGGAATAAATGGAACTAGCTCCCTAGTTCCCTCTAAGAAAAATTAGAAAACCCTAACTTCCCTTAAATTATTAAATTATTATATCAATTATTATAATTATTAAATTAAATTCATAATTTAAACATATCCTATAACAAAGCCCAACCCAGATTATTTCAAACATGAAAGAAGAAATTCTATACAGCTTACACAAACTCCTCCAGAGAATATGTAAAAAGTAAAGATCCCATGTATTTCATGAGCCAGAGTAACTTTGTTTTCATTTATTTATTTTCAAATGTTGAAATAAATTTAAACATACAGAAAAGTTACAAAGATGATATAGAAAATTAAATTTTAGTATGGAAAAATTTTATAGTTTTTGTTTTGGTACAGATCGATAAGGTGATTTGTAAATTTCAATGGAGTGAAGAAAAGCATGAACACTCATTTTGCCCTTGAAGAAGAATGAGGTAGTGAACTTGTTTTACTGGATATCAATAAAGCTAGGGTCATTTGTACAGTATGGTAATACTAAATAAGTGGAATAAAATAGAAGGCATAGATTTATTTATTATAGAGACAAACCTTACTTGCAGCTTAGTTTTTGACACAGAATGATCTTATCAATGGTGCAGGGTCAATTTTATGCCCATTTGGAATAAATGGAACTAGTTCCCTAGCTCATGTCAGACAGGAAAGGCACTTTCAGATACTGACGACTCTGTATGTGAAAGACAAAACAATAAAGCTTCCAGAAGATAATTCAGGGCCATCTCTTTGTGTCCTTGGGGTTGCAGATTTACTAAATAGAATACAAAAAGGCTTAGCTATAAAGGAAAAGTTGATAAATTGGATCACTTTAGCATGAAGAAAAAGGACTCCTCTAAGACTGCAATTGCAAGGCACAGAGTGAGATATTTACAGGGCACTTACTACGGTGGAAGTAGCATTGGCACACTTGCTTTAGGAAGTGGTCCAGCATTTTCTGTTAAATTCAACACATACATACTGTGGCTCAGAAATTCCACTCCTAGTTATAGCCGCAACAGAAATCCCTGCCATAGATATAGTTTGAAATGTACATAGTACATCATCACCAATAAATCAAACCTGGGCACGCCTCAATTATCAGTCAGCTCTAACATGGACAAATTAATGCCATACTCTTAAAATGTACGAAGTGTCCATGAAATGAGTAACTGCAACAACAGACAACCCTGTGGATGAATCTCATACGGATCTTACTGAATGGGCTTCAAGCCTGGAACACATGGGGGCAAACTTACCTGTGTTTGCCTGTGTTCTTCTCATCACTCGGACCCTTTTGACACTGGTGACCCGCAGAAGTGGCTTGAGATTGCATGGAATGTGAGAAGCTGAAGGAAGAATTTTGGAGGGAGCTCAAAGAGCTGAGGGCCTGGCTGCCATCTCAGACCAGGGGGTATGTGGGTGCAGGGGTGTGGGTGTGGGGATAACAGTGTGAGCAGGAGGGGGTGCCATGTGCGTGGCTGTAATTGTGCCTGGTGGCTTACAGTGACTCTCAGATCTCAGTGGCCATGGTTTTACTCATGTTTTCCACACTTGAGCAAATTTCTCTTGTGACCAACCCTCAATGGAATCACACAGGAAATTCTGAGAAATGCAGTAGTTCCTTTTGTTTGTTTTTTAGACAGAGTCTCACCATGTAGTTCAGGCTGGACTTGAACTCACTGTGTAGCTCCGTGTGGCCACATGGTTTGTACTTTGTGAAGATTCATTTAATGAGAAATTAATGTAACCTAATACACAGAGGTTTTGTACATTTTTCTTTAGCTGTATTATGTACTGTCATACACACAAACCCAAAAAAGAAAAAGTTAAAAAAAGAAGAGAGAGAAGGAAAAGAGAAAAAAATAAGAATCTTGCCAATTTCTAGCTGCATGACTTTGCATAAATTATGTAATTTTATAATTAGTAATATGAGGCTAATAATCTGCTCATAAATTTGGTGAGCCTTAAATAAGATAATTGTATTAACACTGTGTCTAGCATATAACAAACACACAAGAATTTGTTTTCATTGTTATTCTAGCTATATTACTGGACCATATGATATATTTTACTTATGAGAATATATGAGTATCATGATACATGATGATAAGAATCTCTGTTTTTGGGTATTTACCATGTTGCAGACACTGTTGTAAGCAGTTTGCTCATGTGTTTATTCACTGAACTTTGTAAGACTCCTTTGAGAGAGATTCTGTTACTACCTGCAACATGCAGTTAAATAAATTGAGTCTAACAAGTTAAACAACCACCCCGAAGTCACACAGCTTCTAAATAGTAGGACTGCGGAATCAAACAGAGAGCACAGTTGCATGAGTAAGAGTTATTTTTGAGCAGACAGAAATGCCCACATGTAACCAATGTGTGCAAGTCAGAACCGTTTTGGTTGGGGCTTTGAGAACCTAACTCCATCAGTTAGCTTTGGCAAAATAGATAATCAGGTGAAGTATTATTGGCACATTTCACATGACTGAGGGAAATTCAAAGACGCAGTTAGGAGCACAATCAAGGAAACCGAGACATCAAAGCCCCCAAGCCTCTCTGTCTCACATATCTTGTTTCTACTTGTCGGAGTTGTTGCCTGGTTCTTGCCTACTCCAAGTACACCTTCTTCTTGTACCAGGAACAAAAGTAAGTTGCCAACAGCTCCTGAGTCTGCCATCTTGTTTCCAATCTATGAGAGAGGTTGCCTCCTTTCCTTCTAAAACAAAAGCTTTGAGTAAGGATTTCTATGCTATATCCCCAGTCAATGTATGCCCATGGCTAGAAAAGCAGAGTCATATTAATAGACTATATATATATATATATATATATATATATATATATATCACCATTCCAGGGAAGGAAGAAGTCATCTTGAGTTATGTAGCCCCCAAGACTGATGTTCACCATGGATGATATGGAAAACCAAGCACATGGTCTAATGTGAAGCCTACATTTGAGGGGAAATGTCATTACTAATCTTTGGTCCAAGACTTTCATTGGAATGATCATATTTCCTGGTAGACAAAGATGTAAGTATCAACAGGATCCAGAGTGAAAGACATACTATAGATCTATCACTTTGCTGAATCATATTCTATTACAGGGCATTTAATAAACAAAGGAAGACAATAAACACCAATGAATCAACAATCATTTTGCAAAATAGATTTTGAAAACAAATGTGACTATAAACTGCAGGAAATTATTAACTGCATTAAAATTATTCATATTTAATGTATATTCTGAAAATTAAAGCAGGTAAGATAACAACCTGTAACTATTCTCAGATACTTTGCCAAATGATTTTGCAAGGTTGTTTGCAGAACTTACAAAAATTAATCTTTAGATTGAAGGCTTTCATTGTGTGGTTAAAACAATTTCTTGTGAAAAGAATGTAGTTTGGACTGTGGGTTAAGTTCAGTGTATCTGGCGAATGAAGAAAGAATGATGTCACAGTGAAGCATATTTGATTCAGGAAAAAAATTGCTTCATTTCCCAGAATATTTGCTAGGGAAAGGTGGAGAGAAAAGGGTAACAACCCACACAAAAATCTTTCTGGCTTACACTTGCTATTCTATCATTGTTCCTGAAAGATGATTTATATAAAAAACATTTAATATAGGAAATTTATTTATAATCAGATTTTGATTATTTGAGTCAAAAAAGACAAATATATAACTTAAATATTGTTCATTTTTGGCCTTTGGAACTAGTCTGTAACTGAACACAACTGTTAGCATGGTGTATACGCTATTCTGCAATGTCAAAGGTTAAAATTTATCTAGGTGATCCATTTATCACAATAGGAAAGTCACATTGTGTTTTCGTGGCCAACGTGTATCTCAGAGTATTTGAATACATGGATTATCACATTCAATCTGAGACCTATTAGTGGACACTGTTTTCTATTTGTAATCTTTTGCTATCACAATTCAGAATGTATATTGCTGTACAATTCCATTTATTCCATATATATTTTGCAGCATAAATGATAGAAATAGAATTTATCAAAGGGTATATACTTTTACAAATTTAGTTGGCACTGCTCATTACTGTCAGTGGGGTGTTAATAAATTAATATCTACTCCAGTATTGTGTCCTCATATCCTATTGTATTGGTTACTTTTTACTTGTCACTGAGACAAAATACCTGACACCCAAAATTAAGGAAGGAAAGATTTATTTCTTACAGTTCTGGAGGCTTCAGTCCATACTCAGTTGCCTCCAAAGCAGGGTGGCATGGCAGGGGCACAGTTCGTGGCAACTGCAAACAGCAAGGCACTAACTGGAAAGAGAGAGAGACACACCTTCTTCTCACCATTACATTGTATGTTGGTTGCACCCCTAGGCGGGTGTATCACTCACACCACCAATCTAAGTGTTAGGCAATGAACCAATCACAAATGCTAGACTTGCTCAAGTCCATAATTCATGAGGCTTGGGGACTAAACCATGCCCCCAACCATGCCGTGGGGACATAAACCATGATATTCCACTCCTGGACCCCCAAAGACTCATGCACATCCTTTATACAAAAGATATTGAGTCGGTCTGTAAGAGTTGCCAAAGTCCTAACAGGTTCAGCACTTCTGAAAATTTCAAGTCCTAAGTCTCCTCTGAGACTGTAACCCCCTCTACAAATGAAACAAAGTTAAACATTTCCAAAATGCAAAGGCACAAGATAAACATTACCATTACAATACTTACAAACAGGGGAACACAAAACATTGGAAACAAGGCAAGTCCAACATCCAGCATTGAACATTAAGCCCTAGAGTTCCATGCTGAGCATTTGAAGCAATCTGGTTGCAAGCTCCAAAAGGCTTGGGTGATCTCTTCTTGGATTTTGCAGCTTCCTTGAATGACCCACATTCCTGGCTTTTCCAAACTTCTGGGGTCTCCACTACACCTTTGGCTTCACTCATATATCTTTACAAATTGCCCTCTGTGGGGCACACTTTTTTGGCCTCTCAGGCCTTTTGCAATTGGGGTGGAAGCCGTGTTACCTTCAGAATTTGTGCATTTCCCTTGCACCTAAGATCAGCATCACATATATATGCCGCCGAGGTTTGCTGACAGCTAGAGAAGTAGCCAGGCTTTTCTCTCTTTTGGCTGATGGGACTGAGTGCCTGTATCACTGGGTTCTGTGAACCTGATTGTGAGGAAAAGCTTCTCTATGTTGATGCCATTCTGGAACCTGGTGTGGCTGCCATTTTGGAACCTCATGTGGCCTCTGCTGCCATTCTGGAGCATGACACTCTGCAGCTTTCTCTTCTAAGCAAATTCTTTCACTTTTACAGTTTTGAGGCTGCAAAGGATGGAGACCCACTGCTTCCTGGGATGCCCTCGGGCCATCTTTTTTTATTTCTCTGTTCCTTCTCAGCAATCCAAGTCTCAGCTCTATATTTACAACCACAGCTTTACTGGAGTTTTCCTTCTGGTCAAACCCACAGCATTTCAGATTACACTGCTGGGCTCTTTGCTCTTGATTTGCAACACAAATCTGGCTAAAAGCCCCCAACAATAGCCATGCCACTGCCTCAACATTTGGCCACCTTGAAATTACTTCTCTCAGTAATTACTTCTCCCACTGCCCTTACTTTTAGTCTCAGGCAAAGTCTCTGGACATGAGCAATTGCAGACAAACTTTCAGCCAAGCCATAACACACATGGTCTGGAGTCCAGCAACTCATGCAGTCCTTCTTCCCAGCAGAAATCTCCTGAGCCTGGTCTTTACTGGCAGGCTTTTTATCCACCAGAAGTCTTCTGAGCTCCGACCAGAGTCTCCTCTGCAGAACAGCCTAAGCTGTTCCAGATCTCTGCATTCAGGCAACATCTCTGAAGCTTTCCAAACTCTGCCGATAAGCCATTTCTAAAGCCTCTTGAAACACATGGTGAGGTGTAGTCACAGCAACAACCCCAATCCTGGTACAAAATTCTGTCTTAGTTACTTTTTACTCATTGCTAACGGTTCCCGTAGTGCAGTGGTTATCACGTTCGCCTCATACTTTTTACTGTCGCTGAGACAAAACACCTGACACCCAAAACTAAGGAAGGAAAGGTTTATTTCTTACAATTCTGGAGGTTTTGGTCCATACTCAGTTGGCTCCAAGGCAGGATGGTTGGACAATATCCAAATGTTGGACAACGAACCAATCACAAATGCTAAGTTTGGTCAAGTCCATAATTCATGAGGCTTGGGAGCCACTGACATAAACTATGACACCTATTAACATACTTGTTATCAGACCTTTTTTAAATCATTGTCTTCTGCTACATAATAAAAATGGTGCCTCAGGATGACATTTCATTTCTCTGTTCATGAAGTTGAACATATTTTCCCCCATTTAAGAGCCATTCGCATTTCTTTTCTATATACAATTTACACTCAACTTCTTTCCATTTTCCTCTTGGGCTCTTATATTTTGATTTGTAAGAGCTCTTTATATATTAATGCTGTTAACCTTATACGGTGAAAGATAACTAATCATAACTCCTAAAAATAAGGTAAGTTTGCCTGTTTTTCCTGATTTTTATAGTTCTGATGTGATGTTTGTTTTGATTGGCTCCTCCAAATTTGGAGAGAAAATAGCAATGAAAACACACCGTGTTCTGTTTTTTCTTTTTCCTAAACTTTCCTAAATTTCTGTTTTGTGATTTTTAAGTATGATGCCAGCTTTTCGGTGAGCATAAATATATTTTATCACATGAAGAAGTTGACTGTGCTGAAGGAAGTGACTGTGGTGCAACCAAAGATGTCTCTTTAGCTCTGGGAACCCAAGAGAACTGGACTTTCCAGTCTCATCTGTGGTTAGATCTGGCTGTTGTAGTCAGGGATTGCAAGAACAACTATGTACAGGACACATGATTTATAGTATTATTTATGGTAGTCACCTCAAGAGTCAAATACAAAGAACATGCAGGAAATCTGCTCACACACTAAAAACCTAAAGAAACCAGCTGAGGGCCTGAATTCCACAGCAGTGTCCTCCACGAGCCCAGTTGAAGACCTAGAGCCCATGACAATGCCCCCCAGGCGTCCAACTGGAGGCCTAGAGTCCACGACAATGACTCATGCAATTCTGTTTCATGGATCTGCGCTGGAAAGACCCACAGGTCAGCAGTGGACGCTATGAAGGACATTCCAGCAGGATGAAGGATCTGTGCCAGTAAGCTGAGTGTTCTGCACTGGAGCCAAGAAACAATGATCAAAGTAAAGACCAGGGCTCCCCTGAAAAGTACCACAGCCATCCTCAGTGACAATGAGGTCCCAAGCTCCTCCAATAATAATGGCCAAGTTCATTTCAGGAAGCCAGCATGATGAGCTTTTAGAGATTGAACAGCACACATCTTCCCTCCAGAGGCAGGAAGCGATGCTCAACATTAAGGACCAAAGCTCCCCCAAAGTGAACCATAGCCATTCTCAATGATAACAAGGTCCCGAGCTCCTCTGACAATGAGAACAACTGAGTTCATATAAGGAAAGAAGCTCAACAAGCTCCTCCAGAAGAACCCATGGCAACAGGAGAAACAACAGCACTAAGTAACAACTCTCTCCCTCTCCAGATCTGCTTTATATGCTGGCAACAGTCCTCAGGTGGGCCCTCCATGCTCAGCACCATGCTGATTCTGTTCAGCTAGTGTTTAAGCTGGCCATCAGTTTTCAGTCCACCACACTGGCCATGATGCTGTATTCTTGCCAAGGGACTATAAGCAAAAGCAATGCATGGCTAGTTCTGCCTGTTCCACATCCCTATCCACTCCCCATAGTATTATGAATCAAATCCTTAGTATCATATTTCATTCAAAGTATTTCAATGTTTGTCCCTCAAGTATCCAAATTTTAAAAGAAGCTATAAAGACATTATCACTGCTAAAAATAATATTATCAGGGACTCAGGGTTTTAATTTCTGGTTATCATAAAAGTTCTATATTTTTGTCATTTCCATGTCTAATCAGAGAGTATCATATAAGGTGGTTGATACCGTATATAGACCTTTGGGATTGACGTTCTCAATTCAATGCAATTCCTATGAGATCCATCCAAGTTCTGTGTCTCAATGGTTTGTTCTTTTATTTTCCTGAGTGGTCTTCCAGTGCATGGGTGTACCCCACACCTAAACCACTTAGCCACCAAAGGTCAGCATGTATGTTTTTTCATTTTTGGCCTGTTACAAATAAAGCGCCTATGAATGTCTTTCACTGCCTTTTGTATGAACATAAATTTTCATTTCTGTGGGATAAATTCAAGAGTGTAGTTGCTGGGTCCTCCAACTGCATTCTTAGATCCATTCTTTACCTTTTAAATGGTTTATCTTTATTGTGAACATTTCAGGTAGTTATGGATAAGTTAAGACTAAGTCTGCCATTTGGTACCTGTTTGCCGTTTGTTTCTTTGTCTCTTACTTCTCTGTTTCTCTTTTATTTCCTTTCTACCTGTTACTTGGTTGTCTTTCTAGGCTTCCATTCTGATTAAAGAGTTTTTCAATACATTTCTTTGTTTAGATTTCTCGGTGGTTGCTCTGGATGTTGTAGTGTTCACAGGCATATTCTGCCCCTTTGGGGAAGTATGGGGATTTTATTCTTATTTTGATTCCTTTACCTTCCTCACAATACTGTAAGTGTCATGGCACCGCGCTGCTTGTCCTAAACCCATGCGAAGGTTCATCTCTTGTATGTGTCTGTGTTTCTGCTCTTCTCATGGTTCTGTCTTCCTTTATGATGTTGCCTTTTTTTCTTTTATCATCTCCATCCTGATAGGAGAATATTTTTCAGAATCTCAGGTCAAAGTCCATTAGTTTGTCTTCATTTAAAGATTATTTCTGTGTTATTTTTGTCTTCATCTGAAAATGTCTATTTTCTGCTTCATTTCCTTTTGGCTTCTATGGTTAGTTGGTAAACCTATCATCATGTAAATGTTTCCCCAGTAAGTAAGATATAGGTTCTCTTTGAATACTTGTAAGATATTTTCTTTGACTTTGTTTTAAAAAATTTAGTTAAGCCCATCAACTGAGGAATAGATAAAAAAAAATGTGATATTTTTATACAACGGAATATTACTTTGCCAAAAAGAATGATAGTCTTGAGGCTCTTATAGGTAAATGGATGCAACTAGAAACCATACTCATAAGTGAAATAAATCATTGTATTGTCTTGCTAATCTAAGAAATGGAAAGAATAAATAAGATCCAAAAGTTACAGTAGATATAGTAACAGGGGAAAAAAACCTCAAAAGGGAAATTATATTGTTTGATCAATTTTGCATGCCTGTGTCTGGTAACCTG